TTAAGCTGTGGAGAGATGTGACGTCAGAAACAGAATCAAGTGCACTGCAAAGTGATCTCAGATTACTCGCAGAGTGGGTGGATAATAATGGACTTGCATTTAACCTAGATGAGTGCCGGGCCATGTTTCTCTGCACCCCAGACTCTCAGAAGGTACCCTATTCTCTCTGTGGAACACAACTCTCCCATACCACCACAGAGAAAGACCTAGGACTAATACTAACTGACAGGCTGGACACTAGCTCCGATTATCTAGGAGATGCCTCCAGAGCCCGCCAGTTTGCGGCCACTGGAAAGTATTACCTGCCGAGATTGCTACTGCTCCGTCTGTTGACAGCTTCAAGAAGAGTTTGGACAGTTACGCAGCGACACACGGTTTGCGTTCATCCTACTTGGATATGGACTAGGCTGACATGACTTACTAACTCGGTATGGCCAACCGTTACTGAACAGCTTGCAAAACCACTATCAGTAGGAACTTGGCTCAACCTTATACCTTCCAATAGAAGTCCCCTCCAGTTACTGCCCCCTACTAAAAAAATTACTATATTCCCATCCGTCCTATCATATTACTTATTATTCTTCCTTCTGACTTTACGCTCTTAAACCCCAACAAAAGCTCCTCCTATCACCTATTCCCCATGAATCTACCAAAGTTTCATTTTTCCGTGCCGTTTCCTTTCTCCTAATCTTTTTTTATATATTCTTTTTTCCTTTTCTTTTTCTATTTTGTCTCTGCACTTTCTCTCCCTTGATTTCTCTGTACATGGTTTTCATCTCCTTTTTACAAACAGTCCGACACTTGAGGAACCCACCCGCACCACAGTCCTCTGAAGAAAAAAACAAACAAACAACACTTTCTACAAATTTAACCAGAATTGCCAAGTGACCGCTCGGTCAAAGATCGGTACTTTCATGACGTCCAACAATGGCAATGGCTCTCAACCAAAGTTGGTCTCAACAGCATACCGGCCAACAGCGTCAGTAGACTGCCAAGGCCAGCGCACCTGAAGACCATACCCAATCCCAGACTACTCGCCGTCCAGTTCGACTCACATGCCTCCCTCACAGACGTTCTACAGGCATGGTATAATGCGAAGGATCGCATGGGTGGCTCAATACGTATATGTGAAAGTAAGCCTAGACCCACAAGGCAAGAGGAGAGACGACAACCACCAAGACCCTGGAGTCAGTGGTCGTCACACAGGCGCTGACCAGTGAGTTAGATACATCAAGTAAAGAAGCTACCACTGCCACAGCCCCCACCCAAGTTAATAACGAAACACCAAAAAACGGAACAATGCCAGTCCTATGAGGACTGGCGAGGGTAGACCCAACCACATAAGCTGTCATCCTGCGAAAATACACAACCAGACCTCCCCCTCACCAGGCACACTCTAATATGTATGTACAGCAACGTTAGGGGGCTAAGAGGGAAGGTAGCAGAAATGAGGACGCTGCGTGCACATCAGCACTCCGACATCATATTCATCACCGAATCCTGGCTCTCATCGGACATCTCCGACGAAGAGATGCATGTTACTGGCATGGAACTCTTCCGCAGGGACAGGGAACATAGAGCAGGAGGAGGAGTGGCTATCTACGTAAACTCTTGTTTAAAGGCAAGGATGGTTAGCGATACGGCCTTAACCCAGCTCCCAGAGTCCCTATGGTGCTACTTCACTCTCCACAGTACCAAATATTTGCTCGGAGTCATATATCGGTCCCCCACCTGCTCCCCTACACATAAGGAAATGATCATCAAGGCTATCTTAACGACTTCCTCTGCAAATTACGATTCCGTAGTCATTGCCGGCGACTTCAACACCCCGTCCATCCTCTTCGAGACGGAAGGGAGACGCATCAGATCCTTCAATCAGAAGCTGAAGGATGCAATTAAGACTGCTGGCCTCTCAGAGAAAGTGGGTGATGCTACACGCTGGGGACCTAACGGAAACGCATCGCGCCTTGACTACGTTCTGACGAACGATGAACTTCTCATTGAGGATGTTTGCATCCAACCTCCCCTTGGCCTCAGTGACCACGCTGTAATCACCTTCTCCATGATAACTAGGGAGGCTCTGCAACTGGAGACGCCCAACACCTTCCCTTGCTACAGCAAGGCCAACTATGAGACCATGAGGGACTACCTCATGAATGCATCATGGCCAGTGGACTGGACTCATCTCACAATAGATGAACACTGGTTGGAGGTGAAGAAAATAATCACTGGGGCCATCAGTCACAGTGTACCAGAAGTAACACACAGACAATCAATGAGAACCTCATGGTTAAAGCGTGGGACAGAGAGGCTTATCCGGAGCAAGAAGCAGGCTTGGTTCAAGTGGCTTACATCACGCAGGGAGTCTGACTTCTTGAACTATAAAAGGATTCGCAATCTCTGTAACATTAGAGTGCGTAACGACAGATTTTCCTACCAAACAAACTTGGCAGCGAGGTTACAAAGCAACCCCAAAAACCTGTACCGCTTCATGTCAAGAAGAAAGTCGACCAGTAAGGGAGTGAATCTTGTCACAGGCCATGACGGGAGTGTGCTAAGCAGTCTAGAGATTGCCGAGCTTTTGAGCTCACACTTCCAAGCCCAACTCAGCACTGACACAAGATCCACACCGACTCGCCACGACACCGACCAGGTCGCAAATAACGAATACCTCTGTCACGTCTCTATTACAGAGAAAAAGGTGTTCGAGAAGCTATCTAGGCTACGTCCGGGCAAGTCCCCTGGCTGCGATAATCTGAAACCAGTGGTTCTGAAAAACTGCGCCGAGGTGCTTACCAAACCACTTCGCAACCTCTTTGAGCACTCAATAGACTCGTGCAAACTCCCTAAAGAATGGAAGAGTGCCATCTTGTCACCCATCTTCAAGGGAGGAGACAGAAAAAACCCTGGCAGCTACAGGCCGATTGCCCTACTCCCTATTGTGTCGAAAGTGTTGGAAAGCCTGGTAGCTGACACCATCTGGGAATTCCTCAATAGAGAAAACACTGTCCACACTGCTCAGCACGGCTTTCGTAGTGGTCGCTCATGTGCCACCAACTTACTAACTGCCTGGGACGACTGGACACAAAGCTGGGATAATAGAAAACCTGTACATGCTGTATTTCTCGACCTAGCCAAAGCATTTGACAGTGTCCCACCCACAGTACTGCTTCACAAGATCATGTCAGCTGGTATAAGTGGACCCCTACTCTCTTGGTTCAAGGAGTACCTGGAAGGGAGGCAGTTCTGCACTAAAGTGAACAGAATAAGGTCGGAGTGGAGACCGTCGACGTCAGGAGTATCCCAAGGAGCAATCCTAGGACCGCTTCTGTTCCTCCTCTTTGTCAACGATCTGCCAGACAAAATATCCTCACCCATCCTCCTCTTCGCTGACGACATAAAAATTTGGAGGGTGGTAAACGAAGAAGCCGACTGTGCAGCACTACAAAAGGACTTGCAGCAACTCGAGCTCTGGTCGTCGGAAAATGGTCTGAGCTTCAACTGGAAAAGTGCAAAGTAATGCACATCAGTAAAAATGAGGCAAGTACGACCGACTTCCAGTACATGTTGAGCAACCGTGCTATCACCAGAGTGTCCATGGAGAAAGATTTGGGGCTCAACTTCTCCGACACCTTGGACACCAGCTCCAACTACAAAGGTATGACAACCAGAGCGAACGCCATTCTACACTTTCTGCGTAGACAGCTTGGCGCCCTCACTCCCGAACTCTTCCTCACCATTTTCAAATCCTACGTGCGGCCGCACCTAGAGGTCTTCAATACGGTGGCTCCTCCAACACTCAAGAGAGACTCTAATCTCCTTGAAAGAATACAAAGAACTGCAACAAAATCAGTTGTGGGGCTAAGGGGAAAGACGTATCCTGAAAGACTTAAACACCTCAACCTATTTACCTTGGGTTATCGCAGGAAAAGGGGTGACCTCATTATGGCATACAAGATCGCCCATCAGGCAGACCATGCAAACAAATCAATTTTGCCTGCAACTGAACGATCTTCACGAGGAAACCCCTTTAAGATAGCACACCAGAGAGCCAACACCACACTCAGGTCCAAATTTTTCTCCCTGAGAGTATGTGCTTTATGGAATGCCTTACCGCGACACATCGTTATAGCTCCTTCAATCGACTCTTTCAAGAGGCGATTAGACAGTTATGTCACCTCGCATGGACTACCACGGACGTACTCAGGTAGTCACCAACCTCAGTACCCCCAACTCCCTCCTAACTACCACTCACTATCTCTCTCCTTAATACACCCACATTACCTACTAATTCTTCTGTAGGAACCAAACCCACGCGACCATTCGCGCAATTCCCAAATACTTTTCTTTCGTTCTCATTTCTCTTTTCACCCCTTCTTTTATTCTCCTTCCCTTTCCTCTTCCCTACATTATTATTACTATTATTTTTATTTTTAATTTTATTTATTTATTTTTTTTTTTTATTTTTTTTTTTTTATTTTATTTATTTATTTATTTTTTTTTTTTACTCTTCCTTACTTCTCTCTTCATTCCTTTACCACTACCTTAATATTCTCTTTCAGGTACCTACACAGACAGGAGTCACGGTTGTTCTCTAAACTTCCCAGCAGCCCGTAGCTCCCTAATCACTCTACAAATTACAACCTACTAACCCACAAAACATCCACCTCACCGAAGCTAAAAGCAAGAAAGCAGAGGGGATTTCCTCGTCCACTGCAGGAGTGAACCGAACAACTGGAACCAAGCCCTAAGAACTAGACGCGAGAGATCAAAAACTACTAGTTTTCTACGCTCGCACTATCAATATTGGATATTGGATATTGAACATCCAACAGCCCGTCAGGCTTACCAAAGCTACAGCAGTCGAGTGGGTAGACCTACTGCATTGGAATCCACCAAAGACCTGGAACCGTTCCGCAAGACCTAGAAGCTAGTGCAAAGAAATCAATTAGTTTACACAAGCTCGTACAAAGATATTGGATATTAGGTATAGTGTTACCATTGGGTACGCTAGCGCGCCATTGTTGACTTATGGCGATGACCTGGGAAAGTTGTCCTAGGAAAGATGAAGTTGAATCATATCTCCGAGACCACAGAATCATTGAAATGTTTGGAAACCTCACGTCCTTGTTGTTTTTCAAACGACCAGGTGAGAAAATTAGAAATGCACCATAGGGTATACCCTTTTTCATGGTTTTGCATATGGTTAAAATACCTTTCGCGTGGTGCTCAGATTTTTTTGTGGCAAACGATCGTGAAAAGGATGAATAAGAGGCTGTCTGAATATTATAAAGCATAGGAGAGGCATTGGAAGGTTGAGTTTTAAGTTCCACTTCTCTCCTCTTCTTCTCACTTGCCTCCGGCTAGAATACGTTTACTCCTTGTCTTACCTGTATTTCCATATAGTCTCCTAGGTAGTACTACATTTCCATGGTTTGTCTGCTGTTCCCTTTCTTCCTCTTTTGAGCCACACTTCAGTATGAAGTTAGGGCTGATGATGTCTCCGTCTAGAAAGACGATGAAATCTCCATGGCTAAACAACCCAGTTCAGAGAACACAACGCAACCAAGACCATCCACCTGGGTTACAAATATTCTTCACCATTTCAAAGCAGTATGATCTGCCTGCGACTAACCTGGTGCTTCAGGTTACTGCTGGACAGACACAATTGTTTGCCAAAAACAAATTACAAGAGACGATCAGCTTTGTCGGTCAGTCAGCACTGGATACCGGGGATACTTACAGGATACCTTTCCGACTGGCTTAGCTCTCGTACTTAAGCGTTAAAGTCACCTGCCATTATCATCATGTATGATTTTGATTTTTGTAGCAAAGTTGATAGCTTATGACAGAATTCATCCTTGTCACCCCCCTGAATGCAGTCGGTGGGTATATAGGCAAGGAGGATTAATAGGTATCGGGAGGTCTCACCATCCTTTCTAGTCCTTACAGATCCATCCAGTCGAAAGCATAAAGGCGGGTCTTAATTAGAATTCAGAAGAAAAGTGCGCTAGCTACTCAATGACTTATTAGTGTCCTTACACCAGCGAGTCCACTGAATCTCCACATACTCACAGGATAGATTTCGAAGGCTTACCACATTGATCAGGTGAGGTGAAATTAATAACCAGAGCACTGCGGTTGTACATAAATACCTCAGAAACACAGCATTCGTTAGTGGCTAAAGATTCTAGGCTTCTGGCAAGAGATACCAGCTGTTAGATTTGGCGTAAGATTCAGACTTTGAGAGCTCCGATATGGAACTGACGGCGAGGTCTTAAGAGACTAAGAATAACATCTCTTAACCTTGTATGGTTGGCACTGTTCACAAAGTAGTGGGCTGAAAAAGCTACATGAGGTTTACTATTGATGACAAGAGATGGATACAGAGGAGGAGACAAAAGTGAAGTAAGTAACTTACGTTTTGTTGAGGTTGACATCTTCCAGGTGCGCATACTTTGAATGCCTGGCGACTATTAAGGCATCTGCAAAAAGATGCGTTAATGCATAATAGCAGAGCTCAAAAGACATCTGCGTGAAGCCGCTTGCTATTGATATTTTCAAAATTTGAGGTTTCAGTTCACTTATTGCAAACCGATATCTCTGGCACTGGTATGCAGTAGGTTAGAGAGGAGTTTGAGGGGAGAGGACCAACCTCTTCTCATTCTCCTAGTTCATATAGGGGAGGTAACATTAACGAGAAACACGTCACTACTGAGATATCCTTTATTCAGTCAGTTGTAAGATTTGGCTCCTGTGTAGTAACTTACACAATAACGGTAGCTACTATTATTACTATCTAACAGACCTTTCCAGTTCGATGGGACTTCGAAGGAAGAAGTATTGCACGAAAATAGCTCACCATGTCAGTCTAATATGCAATGCTGAAGACCATGTCAAGGTAGCATCTATCGGTAGGAAGGTGGCTGTGGAATAACTGACAACATCTCTGAGCTTGCTGTTGATGCATATACTTCGGTTGCATCGGCTAGAGAGAAGGTTTGAAATAGTGACTCCTACTGGCTAGTAAACCGTATTGTTGAACATGTCTAACGTATGGGAAGCTCTTGTTCATTCAGTCAAATGGAAGTGCATTATTTTTCACATGACATGACACCAGTGCATAAAGTCTTCGACTGTTGGCCTGAGCCATGTAGAGAGACTTTAGGCTGACCAATTTAGGTCCACATGACAACAGAAACCAGTAGTGGGTGGAGACTGTAGTTGATATGGCCGAGAGTTGATTTCATTAGCACAAATGCATACACACATTATCCTCATCTTAACCACTATACTAAATCACATCACTATTTCATTCCTTCCTCCTCTCTTAGTATTTCTACTTGCTTTGACCGGTTTTGTTCCTTCTCCATCTTCCATTTTATTACTTTATTACCTTGTGTGTTGATGTGAGCTGTGGCAACTTGAACTATTAAGCCCTCTATTTATTCTGACTTTATTCATTCTTTGTTTAAAGGCAACAGAGATAACAAAAATAGCTATCTTTGAATGTATCGTTGAGACTAGTTCTTTAATAACCAATTTCTGCTTTTTCTTTTCATTATGTCTTTAGTTTTTTACATTTTCATAGTGTTTTTTTAATTATTTCTTTGTATGTAGTATTTCTCGGTCCCAACCGATAGCTGCTACCTTGACGTGGCGGTCAGGCTTGCATATCCAATGCAATCTCTTCACGGATACGAACGGCTCGATTGATTTTTGCCCATTTACGCCACCTATGGCGCCGACATGATATCCGTTTGTCTATTAGAGGTTGCGTGTACTGCACAGCAGTCCACTCTGTTCTACTCTATGGCTGTGAAACATGGCCATTCAAAGTGGAAGACATGAGAGGACAGGCTTCAAGTGTTTGACCACAGTTGACTTCGTAGTATAGACCGTCGTATTCCGTGGTGTCACCACACCATGTGAGTAATGCAGAAGTCAGGTAAAGAGTTTTAGGGAGTGGAGGTAAGTCAGTTGACGAGATTATGAAGCTTCATCGATTGAGATGGCTGGTTGGGACACGTACTACGTATGCCTAGTCACCGATTGCCTCGTCACACAATGTTGGCCGAAGTAGATTCAGACTGGTAGGAAGGCGCGAGGTGGCCACACTAAAATATGGCATCAATGTATGAAGTCTCTGACTGTTGGTTTGAGCCATGTAGGGCGATGCAGACTCGGTGGTTGGGATCCGCGAGACAAGAGGAACCAACAGTGGTTGGAGACTGTAGGTGCTATGGCTCAGAACCCATGTCAGTGGTGCAAACGTATCCCCACACACATTATGCTTATCTTTACAACACTATACCGATTCTCATCATTTTTCGTTCTTCTTTTCCTTCTTCTCTTACTGTATATTTTTTTTCACTGAATCTTCTTATCTTCATCTTTCATCTCACTACCTTTCTACTTGATGTAGTGAAATGAGGTGTGGCCAGTCGAACCGTTACGCAGTAATGGCTGGTCCCATGTTGATATTGATGATGAGTATTTCTTTGTACTTACACAAAGCAATTAGCCATCCCTTGGAAGCTTAAACTCTAGAGCATGAGGTAGGATTCGAACACTGTAATCTACTGGTTGAAATTCAGCTAGCCATACCAATGAGCCATAGTTCAAACATATGTTTATCAGGTTAGGTATGTGTGTATTATTCTGTTGGTCGGGTTGTACACGTTCATTAACTGATATGGCTTATATATGTTGCTATGTATGCCAAGCCACCACCTACCTTGGAGTCCAAAGTTCGTCGAATTTGGATTGGTGTTCAGAGTGACCAGACCAAGACTTGATACCAATCTATGAAGTCTCTAACTGTTGATCTTAGTCGTTTGGGGGAGATATAGACTGCCTGATAGACTGGGGTTCTAAAGACAATGGAAACCAGTGGTTGAGGTCTCTCGGTGACATGGCTGGTAATCGATCACAATGGTGTAAATGTATTTACTCTTCAGTATATTCTAAAGCCTGAATATACACTCTGACAGGTGATTTATTCTCTCACATAACTTTATCTGGCTTGATATCACTCTTTTTCTATCTACTTGTCCTTTGTAAACCGCTGAGAAGCATAGTAACTTGGGTTGATGCACTTGTCTACGTCGTTCTACATTGATTCTGACTGTCTTGTGCCTGATAAGTAAGCCCGAAGAATAGCAGACTGACAAAAATATGAAATAAGCACTTTTATATTCATTTATAAGTTGTTGATACAACTTTTTGATAACAATATACAATAAGAGACTACATAGTTTGTGTTAATGATGCTTCGAGATCGATATCGTGAAATCCTAATGAGAAACCGTAACCTGTGGGATCAACCATTCGGAAGCGAATAGGATACCAACCACAAACCTTCGGGATAGTCGCGGTATATCGTGTAGATTGAGAGAAACAAGAAATTGTGAACCCTTGAACTGCAACCCAGTGGCTGCTGAATGGTTAAACTGTTCTCCGTGAAACCTGAAGCCCCTGGGTTCGACACCTGGTGGGGTGGGGTCATAAAATGGGATGAAACATGTCTCCAATGTTTCTCCAACTGATGTTAAGTTCATAATGAATGCCACCTTAAAAATAAAATATCCATCACCTGTAAGGAACATCTTGGTTGTATTGTGTTCTCTGAGGGGATGGGTTGTTTAGTAGTGAAACTTTCATCATCGTTCTGGACGACATCATCCACAGCATTAACTTCAGTATGAATTGTGAGCTGTCAATACCTCTGCGTGAGCGGTTTATTAGCTGGCCCCAACCAACTGGTTTGTGATTGGTTATTTCCTTTGATTGTTGTCACTGACTGTATACATTTTCTTGTTGACGTTTCCTCTGTTTGACCTCTGACCTTTCTGTCAGCTCACTTCATACTGAAGTTAATGATGTGGATGATGTTGTTTAGAAAGACAATGAAAGCTCCACAACTAAACAATCCAGCCCCTAAGAAAACACAATACAACAAAGACCATCACCTGAGCTACAAATATTGTCCACCATTTCATAAGAAATACTTTAGAAAAGGTTGTGGTGTGTTATGTAGAAGTGGCACCTGAGAAATATTATGGAGAATCCCCAACAATATTGTTCAACATGTTGAATTCCATCTATACAGAAGATATATGTAGATGATACTTTTATCGTCTATGATGA